CTATATCTCCGAATTCCCAACCCCTGAAATTCCAAATTCCCCAAATCCCTATATCCCCGAATTCCCAACCCCTGAAATTCCAAACTCCCCAAATCCTGACACCCTCAAATTCCTATTTCTCAAAATTTCGAAACCCCTAAATCCCTAGATCCCCAAATTCCTACGTCCCAAAATTTCTAAAATTCCAAAACACGAACCTCACAAACCCAATACCCTCAAAGTTAAAAAAACTATGAAACTCCCCAAATCACCAAATTCCAAAACATAAAATTTCACAAATTCGCAAAATGAAAGAATCATACAATCGCAAAATTGCAGAAAGAAACAACGCATAGTTTGGATATAAGCGAATCTGGCGTGTAACTTCCCCTTTAATGATTCAGCGGCCTCCGCAGAGGGCGGAATCCATAAAACGAGCGTGCATATTGCTCGAGCTTTCACAGGAATATCAAATCGCGATTTCTAGCCGGCTGAATCGGCTGTTACTACATATCTGTTCTCTGAAAGGCGAGATATATGTATCGAGCTACGTTCAATCTGCAACTGCAACAGCGATGTTGGTTCTGCACCCTCGAACCACTCTGCCACTGTTCGAAACGATCGTTCCAACGAAACATTAAACCTTTTTGTTCGGTGTCTCTGGCCGCGTACGCCGGCAAAAATCGAATTAAGGCTGACGATGTATACGATTACTTTTGTACGATGCGTGAGTCGATCGCAGGCGATACTGTGAGCGAATTCGATCGGGTACTGTTATAGATGCTTTGCAATTTGCAGTGTTTTCGGACTTTTTTATTTTGAGAGTTTTAGGGATTTGGGGAATTTTGGAATTTTAGGAAATTTTGAGAATTTTGGGATTTGGGTGTTTGGGATTTGGGAATTTGGGGATTTGGGAATTCAGGGATTTGGGAATTTAGGGATTTGTGAATTTGGGGATTTGGTGATTTAAGAATTTGGGGATTTTGGAATTTGGTGATTTGAGAATTTGGGGATTTTGGAATTTGGTGATTGTGGAATTTGGTAATTTGGGAATTTGGGGATTTGGGAATTTGGGGGTTTGGGAATTTGGGGATTCTGGAATTTGGGGATGTGGGAATTCGGGGATGTGGGAATTCGGGGATGTGGGAATTTGGGGATGCGAGAAGTTGGGGATTTTGGAATTTGGTGATTTGGGAATTTGGGGATTTGGGAATTTGGGGGTTTGGGAATTTGGGGATGTGGGAATTTGGGGATGTGAGAAGTTGGGGAT